AGTGTAGACAACAATATTAAAATCAATTTCATCTTTTACTTTAATAGGAATAATATCTTGAATGAATCAATGTTTGATCACCATTGTAAACCTAAAAGCACTGGATGACCGTCTTATCCTAGTGTGAGGCTCCTCAGCGGTGCATATTCGCGACCCTTCACAGGGACTCGAACTCAGGACGTTATGTCTTGGTAAGAATTCCTAAGTCAATTGTGTAAGAATTAGATATGAAATTACAGAACAGTTATCTTCAATTAAATCCATGGATTATCAAGAATTACTTAAATCATATACTTAGGATTACAGATTTAAATTTACACACTACAATAGTCATCATAAGGACCCATTTATACCTTTTATTTCAACCATAGCGACAGATAACCAATTGGATGATATATATATATATATATATACTTTAACACCTGGTGGTTGGCTACAATATGGAATACAAACTGGTATTTTTCCAGTCTTTTTACTATCGATAATACCGCCGAAACCTTTTTTGGGTCTGAAAATGTTTGATGGAAGAACTTTCCGTATAATCTTCAACAGTTTTATTAGTCCCCATTTAGAGTACGGAAACATAGTATTCCCTCCTACAATTCAAAAGGATAAGGACACTCTAGAGCGTATCCAACGGCGAGCCACGAAATCAGTTCGGGGACTCAAATTCAAACTTTATGAAGAGCACCTCCAATCACTTAACCTTTACCCATTAGAGTATAGGCGTCTTAGAGGTGACCTTATAATGGCTTACAGTATCATTAATACTTCTGGGCATCCTTTTAAACACCTACTTAAGCTTAGTCCCAATACTAACCTAAGGGGTAACACCCAGAAATTGGGGATACAACATAGCAGAACGAACTGTAGGCACATCTCCTACTCCTTAAGAGTTGTCAAATGCTGGAAATGACTGCGAGTTGAGCTAGTTCAAGCGACTCCTCGGGAGTCCTTTAAGAGGTGACTGGATATATTCTTAAGGACTAAGGATAGTATTGTTGATCCCCTGCTACTAGACACGGAAGCCTGATCAGCAAAAGCTTCTTCTATTCCGTCCACAACCATTCGCACACATCAAACCAATCAAATGGATAATCTGTAGGACTGCGATTATATCTTTGACCCTAAGAAGCATATTCGACTCTCGTACAAATAATATTCTTTGTTTATTTTCTCAATCATTTGACCTAATTTTTAGGGTCAGCAAAATCTTTCTCTTACGATGTAACACGTATTAGCAGCAGCTACTGAAGGGCGGAAGAATCTGAAACAGCAGCACACAATGATTAACCGAGCACTTCACACCACAGAGAGAGAACGCGGAATTCAAGACACCAGTGTTATATTTTGAAATTAAAATGTGCGGGGAAATGTACAGAAGGGGAGGCGTTAGTTTACAAATAGTTTTATGAGTCGTCCTGTAGGCTCAGTGCATGTAGAGCTTGTTCTTCTTCTTCTTCTAAAGCATTTATTCTTGGTCGTCCTGCAATAGAAAGAAAACAGAATCTATTAACACCATATACATGATGATTTTAACGCTGTTGCATCGACCCCTCTCCTAATAGTGCATTGTCCTCAGTGCCCGGTCTTGGGCACGGGTATGCTGTTCCTCCTTCTGATGGCACTTCATAAAATCTAGTGGCCGGCGGTGGATCGGCAGACTGAGCATCGAAGGAAACTGTCATTCGATCCGGTTTAATTTGTTTGTAGTGTACCGTTATTACGTCGTCTTTAGGTCATTGTATGTTACGCAATACAAACGTGGTGGGAGATCAGATCAGGATAATTTCAAAAGGACCTTGCCAGGGCTGGTGGAATTTACTGCAACTCCCTGACGATGTCATGGGGCGGCGTAACCAGACGCGATCTCCGACCGTATACATCGGTCCTTTCACCTGACGATCGTACATGTCTTTTTGGTGTTCGCTAGCCTTACGCGAGTCGATATTGACCAGGCGGTATGCATCAGCTAAGCTGTTGCGGAGAGTACGTATGTACGGTACATGCTCTTGTTCCTCGTAAGGTAGCAGGGGCGACTGTATCTCTACTGGTAAGCGTAATTCGTGTCCGAACAGTAACATAGCAGGTGAGAATCCCGTGGAACCGTGTACCGACGTACGATACGCTAAAAGGCATTGAGGGAGCTCATTATCCCATAATTCAGGTGACGATCTGCTGACAAACGACTGTAAGATGGCTTTAATAGTCCTGTTCGTTCTTTCCACGAGGCCGTTACCCTCTGGGTGATACGCAGTAGTGTGTGTCTTCCAGCCATGTAAGTGACGCCCACCCCGAGGCAGCGTGGAATGATATCCGAAAAGCTGTGAAAACAACAGTAACATCTGCTAGTAAGGTCAACCATAAGGTTGTGGCGAAACACTGAATCTCAGCAGCGTCTACCGCACTGATAGATGTTCGAAAACTCATTCCATCTGGCTCTGAACATAACGAAGAACGGAGTCAGCTTAAGCGTAAGCTGACTAGAAGCCTACGCAATGATCGTGAACAATGGTGGGTAGCGAAAGCAAGAGAGATGGAAAAGGCAGCGGCAATAGGTAACAGCAGGCAACTGTTCAGACTTGTTAAGGAAACCGGTATTAGGAACCCAACTGCTAGTGAAACTATCTCCGAAAACGATGGACACATTATTCACTCGCAATCCAAGAGATTGGATCGATGGGCAGAACACTTTAGGGATCAGTTCAACTGGCCTTCAGCCACACTTCCGTATCCCACGATTTCCAGTTGACCTGAATGGCAAGTTGATGTGAATCCTCCTACTCTTTACGAGGTTGAAAAAGCTATAGGAAATCTGAAGCGTGGGAGAGCAGCAGGCCCTGACAGGTTTGCCTCTGAGATTTTCAAGGATGGCGGTCCAGTATTAGGAGCGAGATTGGATGAGGTCTTAGGTAGAATCTGGGAACTGGACGTGATCCCATCTGACTGCTCTCAATCACTGATCGTGCCAGTTTATAAGAAAGAACAAAAGTCTTCTTGTGACAATCACAGGAATTAGTTTGACTAATATGGTGTCTAAAATATTAGCTTCAATAATACTTCGACGTCTAACCAAAGCTCGTGAAATGCAGACTAGAGAAAACCAGGCTGGTTTTCGACCTGGACGTGGTTGTATAAACCAGATATTTACACTACGTCGGGTCCTAGAACATAGACACACATTCAGACGCCCCACAATGGTAGTATTTCTCGACCTTAAGGCGGCATTTGATTCTGTTGATCGTGGGGTTCTATGGCAGTGTTTGTCACTGAAAGGAGTACCAAAGAAGTACATTAACTTTATGAAGGCTCTCTACTCGAACACAACTGGTCGAGTGAGAGCTTATGGCGAACTGTCATCAGAACTACCTGGTTGGGGACCGCGAGATGATAGCAACCGATGGTTAGAGACCTTGAATGACATGGCTAAAAATCGTTTGCAATGGCGCAGGTGCATCCACTCTCTGTGTTCTCCCAAACTCTAATCTTCTGAATCCTCCATGTCCTTTATTTTCTTTCCAAACATATTCCACTGGACTATTCTCCTTAACGTTTCCTGTCACTACTTATACTTTCACTACTCTGCCACTACGGGATTTGAGACGATAACTGAATCTCTGTGCTAATGTGGTATGGCAACTCGAACTGATGTACGTACGTACGAAGTTCCACGTTGTACCTGACTGACTGACTCTTTAGCTAGGACTCGTGCTATGGATGTATGCTGCGTCTCTTAAGCATGCACACAGGATCCAAATACGCTTATTGATTTGATCGTGTCTTGTCACTTTAAAGAACTGGCAAGATTTACCTTTCGTGCATTTAGATATTCCATTGCTACTTCCCATGGTCTTGCTGGTGTAGGTATAGCTTTAAGCTCAAAATCAGAACAGGCTATGCTAGTCTGACTCTGAACACGATAAGGAGCGAATAGAGCTTAAATGTAAGCTAATAAAAAGACCATGTAATGATCGTGAGTAGGGGTGGGTAGCGAAATCAAGGGGTGAAAAAAAACGGTGATATGTAACACTAGACAACTGTTCATACTTATTAAGCAGGTGGGTACTTAAAGTCCGACTGATAGCGAAACTATCTCGGAAAATGATGGTATTATTAGTCACTATCAATCTACGAGGTTAGATCAATAGACATAACACTTCAGGAAATAGTTTAATTGGCCTTCAGTTGTATTTCAGTCACCCACTATCTCCTAGCAACCTTACTGGCAGATTGACGTAAGTTTTCCAACTCTTAGTGAGGTTGAAAAGGTTGTAAGTAATCTAAAGCTAGGGAGAGATGCAAAGCGTCATGGACTAGCCTTTGAAATTTTTAAAGATGGTGGTCTAATCTTAGCAGCTAGACTAGCTAGAATCTCAGCTAAACTCGGGAAATTCGACATAACCCCACCTGACTGGTCTCGATCTCTGATAGTCTAAGTTGATAAGAAAGGACAGAAATCCTCTTGTGACAATCACAGAGGAATTAGTTTGACTAATATAGAGTCTGAAATATTCTCAATAGTCTGACCGGTTCTCTTCAGAGACATGACTAGTATGGCTCCAAACCACTTGCGATGGTGCAAGTTCTAGGCTTACTTCTTTACTGTTCGTTTGTATTTATTTCATTAGTTTATCTTTCTGTACTAGTAAGGTATGGCAAATGGAGTCGACTGTATATATGTACCGGGTTCTACGTTGCGACTGACTGGATTTTCTTGTACACCTTATTAAATTAAATATTCACCTTGACTGATAAGTACCTTGTGCGCATTTTATTCACAACCTTAGGTCTCTTACTAATGCTTTTTAGTCGCTTCAGGTGGTACTAAACAGACTAACAGAATGATACTCAATGTCTTCCCGTTATTAACTAGTTTCTATGCATTCGAAAATAAGACTGATGTTTCACTGTCAAACATTAATTCGATGTTGTTTAATGTTTTCTTTTTGTTATAGTCTGAGCGAGGTGGGTTCGTACGTGAGAAGAATTATTGCTCTGGAATGCGTCGTAGTGAAATGGCTTTTGAGCGCCAGCGAGGTGGCTACAGACCTATTGCTCTTCGGTATGTAGTAATATGATCAATAAAACACTTTAGTTTATATGTAATTAATTATTTTGTCGCTCTGATCAGTTACTTTTCATAACGTTTACTGCCTACTACTCAGAAAATTTTGTTGACGAAAACCATGATATGGTCGATGAATTAAGTGAAATCACATTGACTTTCTTAGGTGACTGGAAACAATCAACATAAAACCTTGAAACTAAATCCTATGAGATGTTTATGCAACCTAAAGTAGGGATACGTCGCGGCAAATAAAGTCATATCTTTTCTTGAACACACAATGAGTCGATGTAAAACGGCTAGTCTCTTTTTATAACGTCTATAAGTGTAATGAGAAGACAGTTGATCTGAAAAATGGGACACGTATCATACATTTCGGACAATCTGATAACACATTTAATTATAAAGACGTTTCCACATGAAAACAAGACAGTCAGATAAATAAAATATAGCAATGCACAATACAATCAGTGGTTGACATCGAGGTGAGACCATGGATACGCTTAAAAGTGTTAAAATCAATCCAAGCTACAGTATTTGTAAGTAAGCTCAAAACAATTGTTTCGATAAAAATTGATTTGTTTGGAAGACATGACCATAATCTCATTGGTGTCGGGAAGCAACTTTATGGTTAGGATTGTTTCTGACCCTAAATCGTGTGGCAACTTGAGCTGGTGCTCACTGCCTTGGGTTATAACCACCTAACTAAACCGAAATAATGATTCTCACCTCATCATCGTGGAAAAAGTACAGGTTGGTTGGAAATTCTAACGTCACTAAAGGGCAGAGAAAACTATGCTCCATATCCACATCCCGGCTGATATATAATAAATCTGTATGACAAAAGATAATGGCACTTTCATAGCTATTCGTTTTACATTTTCTCACCACAATTCCTCCTTTCTCGTCATATTGATTACCACTTATATATCTAAACAAGAAGCGTTCGCTATTTTGAGTACCTTTGTTTATACATCTAGAGATGATGGTGAAGATGTTGAATCAATTTGGAAGAGAGGTTTCGTCAGTCGTACAAGCATCTTTGGATCACCTGGGTTGACACCACTAAGTCAAAGTCAACTGTCTTTGGAGACTAACCTTAAACCAGCTGTAACAGGAGAGCGACCAAAACTTAATTTACTACCTCGTTCTGCACCACGAGATTTAAATGAACTATCTGGACGCAACTCAAAGATTTTTGGTGAGGCTCGACCAGTAGATACGGCTAGTAAAAACCGTGAAGTTGAACGGCGACTAACTGCAACTGACCAAACTAGTGTCTTTTCTATTAATCCTTAAACTCCCTTTCTGTATTCTGATGTTCCATATACATTATTTCCGAGTGTTTAAAAAATACCATGTATCAGCCAGGGTGACACAATACTTCATTTTCTCATTTGTATCCACTCTGATCTTATAAATGTGAACACCTTACAATTAAGAACGTAATCTGGGGTTTCTCTATCAACACATTTTGTAAAGCTGTATCGTTAACTTTCTCGTACTTCCACTATTTTGTTTCTCACTTTGAACTTGGCTTTGTTCATGCATTAATGTGGGGATACGATTGTATTTTCTGTGTTAGAAAACAGGTGTCACAGAAAGAGAGCTCCTGGGATTGAATCTCAGATTTGCACGAATGCCGAACACTTATCTAAATAATAAACATACCGTTGTGTTTTTGCCTTATGATAATTGGGCTTTTATTACAGATGGTATATTCCACTTAAAACGTTTTGGAAAATGGTAAAACCACTTGGACCGATGCTTTCTGACATATCACGAAAGGAAAAGAGGTTAGCAGTCTAACTAGGAGGTTGATCTAACAAGATAACTGATCAGCTTATTTAAGGCACGTTTACTAACACGTTCAGTTCTGTACAGTGCAAGACACAGTTCTTTGTTTGTGTAAAGTCGTGGTCCAATGCCTACGGTATTCAATTCAACCACTAGGTTGAAAGACCGGATTTTGCTTTAAAAGTTTGGTTTCGAGCATTTGTGTAGTATCACTACGCCTAACGCGAAAATTGCAAGCGAGGACCAAGTACATGAATTTTACTAGATTAGTGAGTCAAAATTAAACGGTAAGGGTCAGTTGAGATTAATACCCTTAAAGGCAAATGAACTTCATGTGTTCGCGTTATTCTATCAAGCTTGCTAAATGCAAAGAAAAATGATCTGTCTTTCCCGAAATTATGGACATCCCACCTGTTTCAGACCTCAGTAATAAGGATAGTAGGTTGATGAACCTGTGTTAATCCTGACAGATTGCCTTCCAGTGAAGGTCCAGCTTCTCCTTGAAAATATTCACTGATGGGGCTGATACCACTTGTTCGGGTAAGGCGTTCCGATCATTGACTACTCGATGAGAAAAACGGGACCCCACTTTAAGTTTATTAGATCGCGGATTATGAACCTTCTTGCTATGACTTCGGAGATTATTAGCGCTGGAGGGAGCAAAAAGATAAGATATATTGACACCCAAATCATAATTAAAGATGCGAAATGCCAGTATAAGGTCGCCCCGAGTCCTACGATCCGACAAGGGGAAAGGGTTTAGGCGTTGTTAGGGAGTTTAGAAAGACTCTTCACTAATTTCGTTCACACACTCTGGACACGCTCAAGTGAGTTAGTATCCTTTACCAGAAATGGGCTAGCTGCTTGCATACAGTACTCCAAATGTGGTCTTACATAGGCGGGATATAAAGTTCGAAACATTTCTTCGTCAAAAGATTTGAACGCTCGGCGAAGCGACCATAACGCACGAAAACCTTTGACAGCGGCTGCGTTGCAATGCGTAGTTGTTTTTAAGTCATGTCTTAATGTTCTTGAACGTATGGAAGAGTTTTACCATCAATAGTATAATGGTAACTATTACCGTGACCGATATGCATTAGCACACTCTTCTTAGAATTGATTTCTAAGCCCCAACCTCGAGCCCATCGAACTAAATCGTCTAAGTCAGCTTGGAGATCCAGATGATCAGCCTCACTTTTTATTGTTTCCCAGATTTTTACTTCATCCGCAAAAAATAATGTCGAAGACCCAAGCAACAGCGGCAACTCGTTAGCGTAGAGAAGGAAGAGCAGAGGGCCAAACGTGAAAGCACTGGACGGCCGTTTCGTCTTATTGAGGAACTCCTCAGCAGTGCGCATCCAGGATCCCGCCCGTAGGATTCGAACCCAGGGCCTTCAGTCCCGCGCGCGAACGCCTAACCTACTAGACCAGTGAGCACCGCGTTTCCAAAATACCTCATAAATATACCTGCCATAATTTAACCTGGTGAACTTTCCATTGCTACGCCATCGATTTGACGATATGCGGTGTTATTAAACTGGAATTCAACGCCTGTTGTGCACATTAGTAGTAGTTTTTTGAATTACTGGGTTGGTGAGGGTAGACCATAAGTCAGACGAAATATATCAATAGTTTCAAAAGGTATCCTGGTGAACAAAGGTGCTACATCAAAAGGAACCGTAAGCTTACCGGCAATATTCGTACGATTTAGCCTATCAGCAAACTGGAATAAATCCTAATTTATATGTTGCCAATCTACGACGGACCGGTTCTAGTTTTGAGGTGATAATTTTGCGACCGGATAAAAATTCAGGTATCGACCTAATGAATACAGCTGGTTATGTTACTAAGATGAAAGCGACCCTAGATGACCAACTGAGATTCAAGGTAGATGAATCCAAAAAAGATTTAACTGATCCAAAAGAAAATCGAAATAAAGGCATGCTTAGAGAACTCATATAAATGAAAATGATTGCTAGTTCTACTTACAATGATCTAAGACCACGTGGCTCACGTTTACCTCATATGTATAGTTTACTAAAAGTTAACAAACATGACATTCCTATATTCTATTAACTCACCTATGATAATTAGAAGAATTTGAATTATAGTATGAACTAAGAATCCCAGAGATAACGCAATCGAATCAAGAAGTACTACACAAGCACTAACGAATGTACTGTATTTAGAATTCGAAACCAAACATTCAACAAATACAAAGGAGTCATTAGTTCATTCAAACACCACATCCGCCACAGCTTAAATTAGAGTCTAAGTGTCTGTAATCAATTGTACGTCTTCTCCTCAAGTTCATGCTATGTCTGTCCGACAATGTATTGTATAAAGACTCTGTATTATCTAGAATGCACTCATTAGTATTAGAATTAACAACTGAAATCGGAACAGACTCACCTGGTTCCTGGAATTGTATTTGATCAACATGTCGATTGTGTGTACTTAAGTCATTGATATCTAGAAGTCGCACCATAGATTTCCCGACATTCTTCAGAACAATCCCCGTGGATGGTCGAAGATCATTGCCATGATAATATGTAACTTCTGCAGACTCCAAACATCTCATATTCGACAGAATTCTTCCTTTTAATAGTTTTGATGGGGTCTCTTTCGTCACCGAATGTATGGCATTTCTATATTGCAGTAGAAAGGTATCTACTCCCCTCTTCAGCTCATTAAATGTTGAGGCGGCAATAGAATCAATAGCCGTTTTTAACGTCCTGACAAAATTTTCTGCCTGACCATTGGAACAAGGATGTCTGGGAGCAGTAAACAGATGTTTGCACCCTATACCATTTAACCAGGTAGTGACTGCATCTGCAGCAAAATGAGAGCCGTTATCAGTCACTAACACCATTGGAACCCGTTCTCGACTAAACACCTTTCTTAATGCTTGAATTGTGAAGTCAGAATTTGGTGAAGTTGTGAAGAAAACTTCAGGCCACTTTGAAAAAGAATCAATAACTACAAGCGCATAGTATTTGCCAACAAACGGACCACAATAGTCTGCATGAATTCTCTGCCAGGCCTCAGACGATACTGGCCATGGAGTCCACTTCGAATGCTGATTTTTCAGCTTATGACACTTTTCACAATTGTTTGCTGTACGACAAATATCTGCATTTATCTCTGGCCACCAGCATGTGAGCCTAGCCAATGACTTCATTTTTTCAACACCTAAATGTCCACTATGAAGATCTTCTAGGACAGATTTACGCAATGAAGGAGGAACAACAACACGATCATTTAAACACAAAATACCATCAGGAGTAGTAGATAGCTCATCCCACTTTGGAAAATAGATAGGCAATCTACGTTTCAGATTAGCATTCCAACCTTTCCGTATAGCATTAATTATACATCCAAAGTATTTACGAGTTTCTCTAATGATATCTGGACGTTTCACTGGTAAAGGTTGCACTAACAAACAGTCTTAAGTATTTACAGGTTTATCTTGTAATGGTTGTCGAGAAATGTAGTCAACATGTTGAATTTGTTTGGTACTCCTGTGCTGAACCGTATAGTCATAGGCACTCAAAGCAATACTCCATCGTTGAACCATAGCAGCTGAGGAACGTGCTAAGGATTTTTCAGGATGATAAATAAACTTTAAAGCCTCATGATCAGTAACAATAGTGAATTTCTTTCCGAATAAATATTTATGAAGTCTTTTAACAGCCCAAAACACAGCTAATGCTTCTCGCTGAGTCTGTGAATAACCTTGTTCAGTAACAGTAAGTTTGCGTGAAACACAAATAACTGGTCTACCCTCCTGTTCCAAAACTGCGCCAATACCCACAAGTGATGCATCAGTGATAAGCACAGACTGTACACTAGGGGAGTAAGTTCGAAGAACAGCATCACTTTGAAGAAACTTTAGTAGACTACGTAAGCATGACTCTTGTTTCTCACCCCATTTAAATGAATTGGATGTCAAAATATTAAATCAACAATTTGCACGACAAGAAAAATTAGGAATAAAACGGGAATAGGATTGAAGAGCACCCACTAGTGAACGTAGTTCCGTAAGATTTTTCGGAGACGGTGCATTTGTCAGTGGAGATAGTCGTTTCATATCTGATCTAAAACCATTACCATCAACTAGGTATCCAAGACATTCGAAATTAGATACACAAAATGAACACTTATTTGGATTCACTGTAATATTCTTCTCAATTAAACGACGCAATAAGTCTCTGGTCATGAACTACCTTGTCAGAACCATGAACAATGAGATCATCTTGATAAACTTCAAGATCACTAACCACCTTATTCATAACTTCCTGAAATATGGCTGGAGAACAACTTGGACCAAATGGAAGGAAATTGTATTTGAACAGATCAAAAGGAGTGTTAATTGTCGTCAAAAGAGATGAAGATTGATCTAAAGGGATTTGGAGATAAGCATCTTTTAGGTGGACTTTCGAGAACACTTTAGAACCATGAAGTCGATTTAGAATATCTTCAGCCTCTACCGTCGTGCACGT